TTTTTTTTTTTTTTTTTTTTGTGAGACAGACAATGAGAGTTACTGGACCCCTCCCTGGACCGGGGATATATAGAAAATAGGTCACCCTCACAGGCCTATGGACAGTGTGGCTGTGTAGGATGAGTGTGGTTGGGTACACCGTGTCGTGGGATCTCCATGCTGGGTTGGGGTGAAGTGGTCATCTTGGGGCTTTCACTTTCACCCCAGGCTCCCAAGCCCAGTTAGCCTTATGGTTAGGTGGTTGCCTGTCGAGCGGAAAATTGTGTGTTCGAGTCCTGCATTCGACATAGTACACAAAGGACTGGTGCTTTGCACTGCTTGCCCCACCACGGCACTCGGCAGTGGGCATGTATACTGCCACTGCAGCTGCTGCGTCCCACTCGGTCCCACTGTATTTTTCTCACGAGATCTGATAGTAACCCGTAATGGTTCTTACTCTAATAAAGGAACCTGGGCCGTCTTGCAGTCCCGTAAAAGAACCTCATAGAACTTGGTGATTCCTGCCACGAAGGCCCCAGATGTCAGATGATGATCTGAACCCTTCTTGTTTGGCATGGATGTGGATGTGTTCTTCTGGGATGGTCATCTTAAAGTACCCTTCTCTCAAACCAAGGCCTTCGCTTTCCTGCGTCAACATGGCCGATGATCGACACACTTCCATACGGATGACTTTGCAAATATGATAGCAGTACAACACCATCCCATGGGTGGCCCACACATCACTTATTGCTAATAAAATTGAGTTTTTTTCCGGTTTCGCAATTTGTACTTGAGAGACCTGAAGAGGTCATTTGACCTGGCCAGTAAGGGCCGTTTCTCGGGATGAGTGTCAAAAATGGACCTTACTGGCCACTGCGAGGCCAAATGACCTCTTCAGGTCTCTGCCGTACAAATTGCGAAACGGAAAAAAAAACCAATTTTAACCAAAACTCAATCGTCAGTAAAACCTGTGAACATGACCGTCTCCATCCAACAATGCCTCGGAGTCCCCTTATGACCAGAATTGCACCTTGAACTAGAATCTGCATCTCATTGAAAGTTATGTTCACAGCTCAATCAAAAAGTCCTAGTGTGAGTATGCCCTGAGGCTAAATTCCCACATGCTTAGGAAGTAGAGCACCCTTCTCTCAAAAGCAGGCATTCACTTTCCTGCATCAACATGTCCGCACTTTCGTATGGCTGACTTTGTAACCGTGATAGAGGTGCAAATTGGTGGAGCACGCATCAGTCACAATTGCTAATAACTTAAACCACCAGAACTTGGCCCAGCTATAGGCCGCGGAAAAAAAAAAGAGTAGAAACGATTCTAGTCGGATGAATTTGGGCTCTCCTGTAGTGGCCGGGACGTCCTAAAATCGTGTGAAGTACTGGTGGTTTAATAACGCACGTCAGTAAAAAGTGCCAACGTCACCCTCTCCATCTGACATTGTCTCGCATTAATTTATGCATCCTCTTGCAACACTGTCACACTGTCAAGTTGTCAACCTCCTCCCCTGGTTGCGTCCAATGGGGTTATCATAATAGGCTAAATGGCCCTGCAACTGGGCTAAACCCTGTTCCAGCCACTGGGCCAGCACGAGGCCCTAGTACTAGGTTAGTACTAGTCTCACAGTGTGAGGTAGGTCTGACAATATGCAGTACGCTTGCCCCCAACAATGTGCCGCCATCACACACACACACACACACACACACACAGACACACACAGACACACACACAGACACACACACGCACACACACACACACACACACACCATTTTGGATCTCAAGAAGAATGCACAGTCCCTTTGAGGTTCTATGCCGCACACAGCGGATTTTACGACAATGTACACAGTACACGAATCTACCACACGACCGGATACTTAATAATGCCTTGAGCGCATGTCTATGCTTTGACGCTGATCCCACAGGGCGGAAGGCCAATAGAAATGTACATGACTGTAGGAGGGCCTCGTCGCGGGGAATGGGTTACTTCACATAGCACAGACCTCTTTCAGTACAACAAATTGAACAGCATCTGTGGTTTGTGGTCTCAAATACTTATCTGTATACAACGGATGGCACTCTCCACCATCAAGTGGTCGGTATTCCTATGGGCACTAATGCTGGTCCAGAAATTGCCAACCTTACGCTCTATTGGGATGAAGCACAATTCGTCAATGAACTTCGTCAGCAAGACCTGCGTGCGGCGCAAGCATATGCATTTACATATCGGTTCATCGATGACATTCTGTCCTGGCAGACATCCCCACCCCCTCCTACTCGGCACGGGCTTGAGTGGAAAGACACTACTGAGCAAGATGGCTCATGTGAGTCATTCGAAAAAAAAAAAAAAAAAAAAAAAAGAAGGAATCATGTCTTTTCCTTAGGGCAAGAATCCAAGTGCGGTCAGATGGCTCGCTTCGCATAGTTGTATTTGGTAAGGTCGAGGCTTGGACATTCCCTGTCATACGTTATCCCAGTGCATCCTCCAATGCCCCAGCTCATCAGCCTGCAGCCTGCAGGTGTACTTACAGGACAACTAACGAGGTTCGAACAAATTTGGAATAATACTACCGACTTCAAAGCCACAGTAACTTCCTTGACGCGACGTATGCTTTTAAGGGGCCATCCTCCTAGTGTCCTGGCCAAAGGCTGGACCACATATGTACGTGGCTGGCAGCGCCGACTACCCACTCATGTCACACTACTTTTGAATTGGTTCGTCGTATGGTGCGCTGGACCATTGCTCACCCACTGCCAAATGCACACTAGGCATACGGAGCCTCCTCCTGACCACATGCAACACACCATCACCCACTCCCAAACTCCAATTATGGCTGCAGGCGACATCAGCCCTCCACACAGCACAACACGTCTACCCCGTCCTGTTACTCCTGCTGAACTGGCAAACGCCAATCTGGATACGCCAGCCCAGCCAGAGAATGGTCCAACCGCTACAAATAATGTATACGCTGCTGAGGTTGATGTAGGCGATGAAGGCCAGTGTCCTACCAATGCGGCTATTGCTTCTGAAGTGGTGCCTCCCTCATCACTGTCGCCATCACCACCACTACCACCACTACCACCTCCTTCCCCCCCACCGCCGCTGCCATCCCCACCGTCATCCCCACCACCATCGTCACTGGCATCCCCGCCACCATCATCATCCCCGCTAACATCTTCTTGTACATCATCCCCCCAGTCATCTACCATCCTCTACTGCCTATGCATCCCCCCCCGAGGCGACCACGCGCGGCCTAGGTCACGACCCCGCGGCCATAAAAAAAATAAAAAATTAAAAAAAAATAAAGAATGCTGGAAAGACAAATGTTATGCAGAAAAATATACTGAACAACTTTTGCCTTGTGGTCATATCCAAAAACGTTACTGAATTTTTAAAATAAAAAAACACATACGTTTCATAGTTTTTCTTAAACCACCGCTACCTTTCAGGTAGCCTACTCCTGAAAAATAGCCGCCACACCGCCGTCAATATTTTTCATCGACGGCGCGTGGCAGCCGAATTTGAATTTGAGGCCCGCGGCCCCACATATTAGAAAGGTAGTGGTGGTTTAACAAAAAAAAAAAAACAATTTTTGCCTGAGGAAAATTAGTTTTTTAATTTTTAAAATTCAAAGACGAAGTCAAAAAATGAAATAAAATGTGTGCAATTTAGATCTCGAAAAGATCTAGAACACCATATATAGCCTCCTGATGAGTCGGTGAAACTCCGACGAAACAGTTTGTCACAGCCCCTCGTTTGTTGTCCTCTTCTCCCTCTCTGCCTACGGTTTACCGGGCAGTTTTATTTGACGATATATATATATTAAATATTTCAAGTCTAAATTTTTTTGAAAGACGCGGCCGCACCCAACCGCGGCCGGAGCCGCGGCGGCCGTGATCACGGACGCCCTCCGAGTTTGACCCCACGGTCGCGGTCGCGCGCGCGGTCGCGGGTGATACATAGTCTACTGCTGCTTCTTCGTTCCCTTCTTCTGCTTCTTCTTCCTCCTCTTCCTCCTCTTCCTTCTCCTCCTCCTCTTCCTCCTCTTCTCTACCCTCTTCGTCATCTCCCCCCTCCTCCTCTACCTTGCCCGATTCACCATCTTCGTTATCAACGCATTCCTGGTTAGATCAGCCGTCGCGGCGACCCTTTCGTCCAAGGCATCTACCGTTAAATCAGTCGTTGCAGACACCTTGTCGGCGGAGCGCTCCCCGTCTCCACCACCTTCTCCAAAACAACGGTTTCGTTTATCCATGGATAGTATAAACACTCCCCCCCCTGCAGGGGTTTGAGATCTGCTCCGACGCCATGCCTGCAACCGTAGAGAACAACGACGTCGCACTCAATACACACTAGCCCGGAATAGTGCATATCGAGTTCGATGCCAACAATGTGGCGACGATTTCTTCAGCATTACGGGCCTGCGTGTGCATCAGACACGGGGTGTGGCCACCTATGCAGCCTTTACACGATTCACAACCACCTTAAATACAAGTGCGGCTGATCAACCTCCATTGCCTACATCTGAACCACTCATATCTAACCCACCCATTTCTCGTCCACCTGACCCCGCATGCTCCCCAACCCCGATGGTCAATGACCTACCTTCTGATCATTTGATGGAGCCCCTAACTGGTGATGACCTCTCTTCGGAGCGTGTACTAGAGCCAATGCACTTTCCACGAATGGAGGAACCTGATAGAAACAATCAAAACCACATTGAATCTCCACGTGGCGTGTAATCCACAGAAGTGAATGAACTGCCCCCTACCGCACAACCAGCAGAATCATATGATCTCATGGTGCCGCAACGAGGCTATTGTGTGTACTATGTTGTCAATGCAAGTCTCCTCGCTTACAACTGTAACCCTTACACAATTTCTGATTTTGCTGATACTGTCCGCTGGATAGAAGAAGAGCACCATGCTGTCTGCCCAGAGGATGACAATACTGGTCCTGAAGTGAACGTAGAAGTCTTGTCTGTGACATTTATGGGTAACAGACTACAACTGCAGCCTGCTCCCCAGAACCACATGCCACACATGAACTCAAATATTCGTGCATACATCCTGTATCGCCCAGGACATTTCAGCGCTGTGACCTATGCAAGCAATTCATGGGCCTTATGGGACAATGGAGGTAGGGTGCACACGGTAAGTAGCATTAACTCCTTTTATAACCAAGTAGCAAGTACTCACTCAATTTGGATTGTCCTTCAGGAACAATATGTTACTTCGCACCCGCAAACGCTTCAGTCCTTGGAGAGCAATCCAGATGCGCAATCACCTCCTTCCCCTGCACATGACCAAGCAGTGTCCCTTCCCTATCTAGATCAGGCAGATTCTGCTCCGGACAATGAAAGAACCTCCTTAGAAGATGCTGGCTGTGACCTTCCATTCTGTGGCCACACAACCACAATTCGGTTAGCATGCACAGTGCATAGTCTCTGCTCCGAACACTATGAAAGGATGGTCACCGCCAGCCTCTGTCGCGAAAACTGCGACTCTTTATCTTGTGTTCATCCCCCCCACCCCCTAATCGCCTGCCCAATATGCCGTCCTGGCCTTAATCTGCCATACTTAAATAGCTGCGAACGTCATGATCCTGCATTCCTGCTAGCATGTCAGCAAAATGTCATCTATGTTTCCAGGAAGCTGTCATAGAAAGCATGTGCCTCGACTGCGTGGACTATCCACGATGCCATCATCCACCAAATCCTCTCATAGCATGCCCCACATGCAGAGTTGGACATGCAGTTACTGCAAACGCCATCGGATCTCCTTGTTTCTTGCCCGACGAACAACAAACTCAACAATGGGAGCAGGAAAATAGAGAACCACATGAGCCACTTATAGAGCACTGTGTTGGCACTGTTGAGGGCTAACACTGCCAGGACGAACTGTTCCAGAACAAATTCTGCACCAGCTAGACACCCTTGTTTTGGATGACCCCCTCTTGCCACAGTCGTCGTCGTCGATCCATAGACAAGGAATCAATGCAGAGGAAACCGAAAACACTTGCTCAATGCGTTCTGTGATGATCCATCTGAGATTCTGCTAGCATGTGGACTGCATGCATTGTGTCATGAGGATTATGAAGGCACTGACCGTGCATCTTTCTGCCGTCATACGTTTGATGGCAGTCAATATTGCACTCACGTCCGGCACCCTGACATGTCATGTCCAATTTGTAGACAGGGGCTCGAACAACAATGCCTCTACAATTGCGGCCGGCATGCCTCTGTGTTCCCTGCCTGTGGGAGCCATGTTGCCTGCGATATCTGTCTACGTCGTGCCATTCGGTGCAGCAACTGCAACTGCGAGAATTGGATGCGATGCTTCCACAGTCCGCACCCGAATTGGTGCTGTCCGGTCTGCAGGAATGGTCACCTACCATACGCAACAGCTACCATAAGCAGCAACTCCTCCTCATCCTGCAACCTGAACACTGATTGACATCTCGTGTCATTCTACAGCCGTCTGCTCCAACGGTCTATATAGAGAATCCTTTCTCTCTCTCTCTCTCTCTCTCTCTCTCTCTCTCTCTCTCTCTCTCTCTCTCTCTCTCTCTCTCTCTCTCTCTCTTTTGCTCTCTCTATTTTTATTTTGTCCTCCTCCCTGTTGTCTGCTCCCTCTCCATGTGTACTACCAGTAAACGCATATGACCTAGCGTTATTGAGAGAGCAGACAAAATATAATTACCCTTTTACTCTGCCTCTTTTTATAACATGCAAGTGGGCCGTAAAGGCACACGGGGATGTGGGCAGCTGGCGCTCAACCATCATCAACGTGGCCAACCTTGTACGTGATAGGCACAGTAAGAAGGTAACCACAAAAACAAAGAAAATGGGAGGCCTCCCAATGCTAGCTGATGAAAATATAATCAAGAAAATGATATAAGGAATTTATTGTGTCTCATATTGTTTTTACTGTTGGGTTGGCCCATGTCAAGTGTGTTGCATTGGTTTTGCAAAGGTGAGATTCCTTGCTTGTTTAAAGGTAAGGTTCTGAATAGGTACTTCCTTCACAAGCAAAACTGTTTCATTGGTGGATTGGCTCATCTAGAGAATGCTTCACTGTCTGCAATACAGGAAAAGTTGCTATGACTTTGGATCTACTCAATGACATCTGGGTGGAATAGGGGAAGTTGTGGTGATATCTTATAACACACGCACACACACACACACACACACACACACACACACACACACACACACACACACACACACACACACACACACACACACACACACATATATGGTACTGGTACAACTGCTATGGCACCGAATGCTTGTTGACCACTGGCTGCCAAGTCTCTGTGGCTCACTGTTTTCTTCGCACGTCACTTGGTCACTCCTTTAAGTTAGCACAACAGCGCTTCAACTTTTCCACACCAGCACGAGCTGAACGAATCAATGATGAGAACATAATCTATGTTTTTATACGCGGTGATCCGGCTTCCAGTCCGCTGGACTTGCTGACCCAGTTGACCTGGTACCCTGCCGGCGTTGGCATCTTGGCTGTTGACATCTCCAGAAAAGTTGTCTGCCTCTGCCTTCCTGGGACCGTGCGCAGCCTACTGACCGGGGACTGGACTACGAAGTACTAAGTACTAAGCCTACTGTCTTCCCCCAAATACAATGTACCGTCATTATAGTTGTATTTAGACTGAAAGATACCCCATTTTTTTAGCTATAATGACAACAACCCCCTTATCTCCCCCAGCCTCTCTCATACAGTAAATAATAATAACAACAATGGAAGGATGAACCAGAACTAATGTCCGCATCTCCTCCTTACTGCCAGCAACACATGAGGTACACCTTAGCCACAACCTACAACGCCTACCACCTTCTAACGGTAGCGTCGGTAGGTGGCTATGGCGGCCTAGTGGGGCCTTGCCCCGATGTTCAGAGGACAACGAAAAGAGGATATGTCCCCTCTACTATGGCTGCCATGCCTAACTCTCTGCCCTGAAGCCTCCCTTGAAGCAGTGCACCCCCACTGCGGCCTTCCAGGTGCAGCGCCAACCAGGAAGATGAAGATGCCCTCCAGGGCCTCCACCATAGCCAAGGTAGTACCCCCGTCACTCTCCTCCTAGCGCACCTTCTTCCTCCTCCTCCCTGGTCCGCTCCACCATAGCTGGAGATGGAGGGCCAGCCCGGCCAGGTCTCCTTTTTCCTCCCCCAGCGCTGGACTTGCTCAGCGCTTGCTCCAGTAGCGTGACGCCA